AAATGCCATCTTGAATTAATCTGTATTGGTTTTATTCGTGTGATGAATTTTTCAGTAGCAAACGACCTCGGAAGGAAGAAGCCGGCTCGACGACTACTCCAGCAGAAGTCTCTGCTAACAGTTCTAGTTCCCAGTACCAAGGGTATTACTTGTATACTGCGCCGTCTCAGCAGTACGCGCCGTCTTGTACCACAGGCGTAAATTCTACGCAGTGGAACCAGCAATACGGCAGTAGCGGCTACTACTATCCGCAACAGTACTGAAGGATGACTTCACTGGCACCGATGCGAACTGACCAGCGCACGAATGGACGCATTTTCCGTTCTGGGGGTGGTTTTTGAGTTCGACGGCACAGCATTGTTTTCGTCGTCGAAACGCACACAGAAACACAATGCAAGCGAATGACTGCCAGGTAATCAATCACAACAGGGAGAGGACCATTTCCAGCTGATGTAGAAAATTCATTCCACAGAGCCTTTCGCAGTCGACCTGCCGGAAGCGCCCACGAATATGCTGCAGCTTTTGACTGGTCATCAGGCCGGTGACGAAACTGTCGTCGTCGTCCGCAGCTCTGTCCGCCTGAATATAAAGTTGCGGAACGGCAGTGTCGATTGGAAACTTCACGCAAACTGCCCTATAAAGTGCATTCAATGATTACCACCGTCATTCTGCCTGCAACCGCTCAAACTTGTTTTGAACCGATATTGTGTGATTACTAAAAACAAATAAACGGTATTTACTTTGTTCCTGACGGGTCAACGATCAACGTCGTCGGCGTCAATGTGCCTTTGTGGTCGGTGATGTCTAAGCAACAGCAAACTGTCTGCCAGTTCAGCGGGCGACTCATCTTTCCGACAGCGCTGACTATATTTTGACGAGACTAAAATCAAAATAATAACATTTAATAATAATATGGAGTATAGCTCAAGATTTTTTTATAAAGAAGATAACTATGTACACTGAAATGTCATGAACAAGCGAACAATGCATAAAATATTTACATGCTTTACATGGTTTCTCCCAGACCAATCTAAAGCTAATGGCCAAAACCAGTGAGTCGCCTGACCATATGATGATCAAAAAACGAGCAAAAGTAAGGTTCGCTGCTCAAGTAGTTCAGCTGACATAAACGAAACAAACACATTCTTGACTTGAGGGCAAAATATAAAGAATCTTTATTAGGTGGAAGAACGAGACCGGGAAAAAGGTTTTCAGCAATTTAACAGAGGAGAGGGGTAAACGAAAGATCACAAAGTCGTCAACTGGAATACCTGAAAAATTCTGCAAACGTGAAACGTTGTGT